ATGCTGGTTTACATGGTTCGCATTTTGGCTCACACTTTGGAGGCTCGCAACATTGTGGTTCCACTGGACAGGGTTTAGGACAGATGTCTTGCTTACAATTTAAGTATTCCGCCAACTTGAGCAAGCACGCTTTTATATCAGTGCAAGACTCTACTGGTGGTTTTGAGCACATTCTTTAATAGCTTCTATGAGTCGGTGCAGCTTGTCCCTTCTTAATTCTTTTTATACTATCTTAATTTGTACTTTTACTTCGTTTTTTAGTCATCGGGTCTCACTTGATCATAATCGGTGTTATTTGTCCTTTCTCCTGTCTTGATGTCATATGCGTATTTTTCTCACCTACAAATTATCCTCTTGAATAAGTGAAACTTTCACTTAAACCTCAAAATTCGCATACTCAAAATTAACTCCATTCTAAGCATTCAATTTTAATGGCATGTCACATGTTGATAGCTCTTGCACTTTTACCGAGAAGCAGCTTTTCCTTAGGATAAATCATCAGGACGCTTGCGATTTAGTTGTCGACTTGAGATGTTGGTTCGATTAGAGGAGACCCGAGGATTAGCACAAATTGAATGTTACTTCTTTTCCATTACTGTGAAGAAGAGAATTTACCATTGAGTAATTGGAAACTATTTCCCCTTGAGGAAGTTATTATTCAGTTTTCTGGTTTTTTTTCTCATTATTCGTGAGAACTCGGTGTATCCTCGGAAGTACTTGTTTGACTTGGAATGCTTTGCAGTTTACTGTATGTGATTGTGGCTGAATTGAAGGAAATGTTTCTATGTTCACGAGGACTTGTACTTTTCTTCTTTCTGGGTTGGCTATGCTTTTGTTGGTCGTTTGAAATTTCATGGGAAGTTGAACAGGATTTCTTTTTTGCAATAGTTACAGGAAATGACATTGATTTTTAGTATCTTTATTCAATCTGCCTATTAAATGTAACTATTCTAATTGTTGTTTGGGTTTTCGGGCTGGATAAACTGAATTGAAACCATTTCTCTAAATATAATTGCCTATCTTATTTGAAAATTATTTCGCGTGTTTTAATCTTGTCCCATTTAGCTTTTTAATATAACGAAGATAAAGGTGAAAAGTGATTAAAGAAATAGGAGAAATTAGGCTTTTGAGATGATATTGACGCGATTGGGTAGTAAACCTTGCTAATACTGCACACATTCATGCATTTATTTAATCGATATACTGTTTTCTTTAATGTTTCGCACTTTATATTTTCCCTTTTGTTTCCTCGTCAAGTTCGAAACAACCCTAAGTTGTTAAATACTGCTCGTAGCTCAGATATATGGGATAATCCTTTGTAGACGTCTAATCAAGCCGCAAACTTAAGCATTTAGCCGAAGGCGTAGTTATCGAGGTTTAAGAGTTTTCAATATAATAGTTTGTTCCTGTTAGCGAAACTTATATCTAATTGAACAAATGATGAAACGCAGTGATATGTGATGTCGCCTTGCTTAAAAAATGTCCTTATTATAGCCAAGATGTGCTAATTAATGCTGACTTTGGCGTTTCGTCTTGGATAAATTTAGATATTTGCGGTAAGAGTGATTGTCCAGCTAGATAGTAATGTGATCATAAAGGAAATTAACTATGAGAGAAGACAGTAATCGCGTTATGTATGTGCCTATCCCATATGCTCTGAGCAATATGTGAATAGTCATCTCCATTGTAGGATTTATCTTTATGCTAGTCAAAATGCGGTTTTGGTGATTAAAGTCCCCTCCCCCTCCTGTGTTTTAATAGGTTCATTAATTTGCGCCAATATAAAAGTTATTAACATAGCATAATAATTGAGTTTATATAAAATTTTTGCTACTTTATTACTTGTTTGAGAGATAAAAAGATAGGCTGTCATTATTGTATGCCCAAAACATCGTAAACCATGATTTAGTGTGTTCTAGGAGACTGATAATGAAATTAGAATTTGAGGAATATGAGTCATCACTCAAGAAAATATCGTAAATTGCAAATTCCAGACTCAAACTTTAAGTGAATCTCTTGATGCCTTGAAGTTACAATCGACATCCTGAAATTTACTATAAACGGAATTTGGTTGCTTTTCAAGATTAGTATTTGTCTACTGTCTGTCTTGCTGTGAGCTAATTTAACGCTTTGCTCTTTTAGAGGAATAATCGAAATGGCTTCCCACTGTCTTATTTCAATCGCTGTCTTTCAATTCGTTGGTGGTGTCGTGGTAAGAGCCCATTTGCTAATTGACTCATCTTAATTTATAATACAACCGAATTGATTATTGTTGACGTCAATTTGTATCAAATAGGGTGTCTGCTCTGGAATTATTAGAGGCGTTGGAATGCAGAGAGTCGGAGCCATCGTCTGCATTGTATGCATGTACTTAGTCGGTGGACCACTTGGTCTCTGTCTTCTCATGCTCACAGATCTCGGCGTTTCAGGTAGATTATGAAAAAAAATCCGTTGCCTCTAAATTTTGGTTTTAATCAGTTAACCCATCTACAAATGAACCATCTTAAATTTAGGGCGTGCTCGGGTCGGGCGGAAGGGGGGGGGGGTAAGTATCAGGCTTATCTACTCATAGCATCTTGAACTGGCATATTTCCGAACTCATAGAAGGTGGTGTGTCTCCTTTTAGGAAAAAGGTGTGGGATGCTAGTAAACTATCATTTGTAGAACTTAATTTCTCCGTTGATCAGTGTATTTAGTGATTTGACTTTAGATACACTTTCTTGGTGTGTACCATATCGTTGTTAATTAACTTCATTTATAAGTTCTCGCTGTGCTTAATAACCTATTAAAACAACAAGATTACCATTAGTAAGTAAATGAAATAGCAGATATATTGAGCAAGAGCCTTGTGTTGCAGAGTTAAAGTATAAATTTTATAGAATTGAAGTACATGGTCAGTGATTTAATGCATTTAAAGCAGCGTCCACGTATTCTAGACGATTCTAGTGGGTGTGGGGGTTCTTTCGATTAGCATTCGTAATGTTGCAGTTTTGGGGAACTTACGATAGTTCGGGTATACACATCTTTCAACGTACATATTCACACTCGCACAAAGACTCAAATCGACGCTGCAGTTTCCGTACTTAGACACTGAGCTTTGTTGTATTCAGATGTGGTTCAGGGCCTATTCTTATCGCCTTTTTACTATTAGGTACCCCAATTAATACTATGAGGTAGGGTTCGGATTCACTTAAAATCTGAAAGTAATCATTTACATTTTAATGGAGGTAAAGGTTTTCGGAACTATTTTATTTTCTATTTACTCAACGCAATCAGAATACAATATTATCGGTACTATTTCTGCTTTATTTAGATCCCAGAAACGCCACGATTAATGGTTAATTAGAAATCGATGCGTATTTTCTCCATTGTAGGCTTTTGGTGGGGCTTGTCTGTTGGGATGGGAGCGGAAGCTGTAGTCTATATTATCCTCATTCTACGAATCGATTGGCATAAGATGTGTGAGAAGGTAAGCTTCTGTTCTAATTCCTTATTTTTCTCTTTAAATTCTCGATTTGAGATGTTTATGGACTCGTGGGTGTTTTTTATGCTTTCAACACCTCTTTTAGGCTGCCCAAAGAACTGAAATCAAATTTGTGAATGGAGCCTCGAGGGAAATTGAAATCGAGTTTGAGCCTAAAAGTAAGCTATGCTTGTTGCGACTCAATGTATATACGTAAAATGTAATGTTGTTAAACCCCAGATCGCGCATGCTCGACCCAACTCTGAGTAGAGAAGGCAGAGGTTTCAAATAAACGACCTTTCTTCCTAACTCTTGGGAGCTCAGTTGCCAAAATGCGAAATTGTGACAGTCAGTGAGGTTGTATTTTTATTTTGGAAGAAAGAGAAGGATAAAGCAACCTTGAAATCACTAAGACGAAGTTTTTGAAGCTAAGCTTAGAACGTAGGTGGCAGACAATGAGGTGACGTTGATGAAATTTATTAAGCCCAGGGGAATGTGCAAAATTCAGGGTGAAATTTAAAATTTCAAAATGTGTAAAAATTGATAATCCAAATTTAATAGCAGATAATACATAAAGTTATCGCACGCAGCCGTATTCTAAAGGATAAGGTTCACGTTTACAATGTGTAAGTATGGGTATTATTTCTGCTCAGAGGAGGTTAACGCCAACATCTTGAAGCGGAGCCTTTTGAGATCTAGATTTATATTTCTGTTTTAAATGTTACTTCTACTTCTGTGGTTGCATAGACTGAAGCTGCAACGACTTGTACCTTTCATATAACTCAAGCGCGTAAATTCGTTGCTTGCCAAGCGCAAAGGGTCACTTTTAAATTTAAACAAGTGTTTTGTTCAATCCCCCCCTGAGCAATGCCATTAATAGTTAGCATTAAATGAGTCCATTGCCAAATGAAATTGTTCTTGCAATCGGCATTAATTTTACCACTTATAATGTTACTTGTTTTGCGCAAGAAAAAGGTGTTCGAATTTTGTACTTAAATTTTATTTTGATTAAGCGGTGCGTAAAGATTAGAACTGGCAAGGAAAATTTTCATTGTTTGTTTGAGTAAAAGTTAATTGAACAAACGCTTTCAAGAAAAATCAAATGATGACAATTTTTAAGTGTATTTATTTACATCAAATGTCAGGCTTTCTGATAGTCATCATTAGCCCTTTAGCCGACTTCGGGCTTCACAGAAGGGAGGAACATTATAATCACAAAAATTAGGGGGGGGGGGGACAGAAGAGTGATTCAAAGATATAAGAGAGGCAGACACAAAGGTGGAGAAAAAGGTAAGGTGAGTACTGTGGAAGTGGTGGAATATGACACACAATGGGATCCTGGTAGTTTGATGTCAGGAGTCAACTGGTGGTTTATAGACCTATTTGCCGAATGAGTATACTTTGCTCAGGGTGCACCTCGTGGAGGTAGGTCTATCATGTTATAAGAATATGGAAGGTACAGATCATTGTGGTGTTAGTATGGTCCATCAAGAGGTAGGGGGAGGGGGTCAAGTACGAATTGACAAAATCTCGTATCCTGTCTCTTGAAGACTATGCACCTAACTGTAAGCCACCTCTTGAACGGGATCCCTAACTGTTTAAGAAATGGAAAAACAGTGCTTTCATTTCGTTTCTTGACACCAAAATTTATTTACTTTCGTTCAAAATTCGAGAATATCTGAGATAGTCGTTCTTCTGTCCACATTGACTAACTTTGCCGTTTTGGCAATTGAAACGAGTTCCCGAGACGAGGCGAATGGTTGATTAGAGAAGTAATTTTTCAAATACGAAGTCAGTTCACATTTGTTGCTTTCAGCTGATGGAGGAGAAGAAATTTCCGAAGAAATTGAAACAGACTTCGAAGAAGTGAAAGCCTGCACTACAAAGCTCCTTCTAACTCGAGGTACATTTGTGACTTTTTGCTTCTCCACAATTGTGGTCGCTCTCCTTTGTCGATTCTTTCTCGATTGGCGACGACATTTTCCAAGCTACTGCCACCATGTGAACGGTAGCCTCATTCCAATCGATTTCACCAATGGGACTCAAATCGTCCTCTCCGATTGTCAACGGATTTTGCCATAAATGAAATTGTTATCATCTCCATCCTTGCTCATTGATATTGGTTATTGGGAATCTTCGCCATTCTTCGAAATTGTGTTATAATATACTAAACAAATGACTGTATATTTTATCACTATTCTCTCATATCTATTTTCGCACTCGTATCTCTTTTTCATCTCAGCGAGAATGTTAAATAATCCGCTATATGGGAATATAGTTGTCCATTTATTTATGAGATGACGTATAGGTCCTGAGTCCTGACATGTATTCACCTGTATGTTTTTTGTACATTTCCTTGGGAGATTTTCGATGAATGCTACGTCCGATTATCCTGTTAGGCCTGGTCGGTAAACCTCGATTCTCACACCATGGAGACCCTATGATGCCGCATCATAGAGGTCATTTGGGTTTAGAAGGAAATCGCACATTTATGGGATGAGTACTCCATCCCGAGTGGTATTAGCCTTTCAATATGCGAATTCATGCTGGCCCAAATACCTAGGTGCTGATGCAGTCGCTAAGTTTGCTATCCTATTATCGAACATATTATTATTATTATATCAAATGGCAGGCGTCTTGATGGTTATCATTAGCCCTTTAGTTGACTTCAGGCTTCACAGAGGGGGAGGAACATCGAAGTGAAAAAAGGCGAGAGGAGGGGGGGGGGAGAGAAGAGTGTTTCAAAGATGTAAAAGAAACAGACGCAAAGGTAGAAAAAGGTGAGGTGATCACTGTGGAAGAAGTCGAATATGACATAGAGTGGGGTGATGGTAGTTTGAAGTGAGACTTTGTTTCTGTATGAGTATACGTCCCCCAGGGTGCACTACGTGGAGGTAAATCTATCGCACACCCCTTATCGAAAATATAAAATCAACTTATAGTCATATTGAAAGCCACCGTTAAGCGCATTTGTCTTGCAAATTGTTGCTTAGCGATTAACCACAAAAGCAAAGTTGGATTAAGGTACAAATGAGTTAAACCTTAATAGGTATAGTTGACATTTGATGATAATAAATTGGTTAACAAAGTCTATTCGCTTTGGAAATAAACTCTAATTCCATACTCCTCTACATGCTCAACGTAAATTTTAGATAATGGGTTATTGTTAAAGATTGTACAATAGTTTCCTTCACTTGCTGAGTAGGCAATTTATAATCAAAATAAATTTGAATGTGTACGCGAAGAAATACAATGAGGGTTCAGCTGTTTCCTACTGGCAGTTTAATTTTCTGATAGGCCGAACAATTTATACGCTTATTTTTTGTCACAGAAACAAAATATTAAACAGTTTTTTCTTCACAAAGGAATTGATACTATTTAACATTAAGTGCAATTAATTATTGGTAAGGAGGGTGGGGGAGGTGGGGGAGGGGGCTGTGTGAGGTGAGGTGATTAAAAAATGAAAGTGCAAAATGAATGATTTAAATGCACATCGTGTGTGAGAACTTGACTTGCAATTAGAATGAGAGACAGTGCTTGCGTCATATGGCTACGCGGCATCAAGTGAATAATCATCTCCAGGTCCTTTTCCGCCGTACTACTCAATTTAAATTTGTGCTTACGTTGTCATGATAACTACCAACTTATATACGATGCATATTTTAAGATTGTTTTGGCCAAGTAAGAAGTCCAGTTAATGAGTGTTTTAAAGGAAATAACTTTGAGAGCAAGGGGTGCGCGTTAGACTTACTTCCACCTGGTGCACCCTGGGCAACGTAAACTCATTCGGCCAAAAGTCTATAAATCGGCAGTTGACTTCTGACTTCAAACTACTGTGACCAGATCTTATGTCACATTCGTAAATCATTCTTCCGTCCCTCCCCCTCCCCCCTCAACATTCTGTGACTTTAATATTCCTCCCCTCTGTAAAACTTGAAATCAACTAAAGGGTTAATGGTAACCAACTTAAAGCCTGTCATTTGCTACAAATACCTTGAGAACAATTTCTAAATGCCCTCCTTTTCATAACGGTTGCGTTATGTCGGTCTGTTCTCTTTTCATACGCTTTCCAAGTTTGGTAGTTTGTCAAAAGAAATTTATCCACAGAGTATATTTCTTATGAGGATGATATTTAAAAATAAGTCGATGGCGAGATGTTTACGCATCATAGTGTGGCATTTTCTTTTTTTGTTGAATAAAACGGTTTGATTTTGAGCTGAAGGATAAATTTGAGATCACTAGGTAACACTGGGTTTTTGTCAAATGATTCGTGTCGAGTTTTAGAATATGTGCTATTGATTTATTTTATTCAAGTGTATTGAAGATCTAGTTTGCTTGTTTGTTATAAAAATGATGATAATTAAAAGAAAGTACTTAAAGGCTTCGAGTGTCATCCGCATTGAATGACGGTGCTCATTTGGGATTACTCGATACGTGGATCTTAGCCGAATTGACTTCAGAACTTTCTACTTCCTCAAGGATTAATACTAAAGATATTTGCATAATGTGGATTAGGCGTATACTTAAGACCAGTTTCGATCACTACACATTTTGTCTTTCTGCCCATTCAAGCCATGAATAATAATAATAATAATAATAATAGCAATGCTGTTCAAGGAATGAGAGGATCGATTACCTCGTAGAACTAAGACCTGGAAATAGGGAATAGTACCAATGACTCCTTCGGAACAAACGGATTGAATTCTACAGCGGTAGGCTTAATTCGATTGGTACTATTGCAGTGGGCTCAAGCACTAACTGTGCCAGTTGTGGTCATATTAACTTTCAAAGCCCGATACGGATTAAAAGTATTGCATGTCCTCGAAATGGCTCAGCTTCATTGCATGCCACATAATTATTTCGAGAAACCACATTAAGGCGCAGTCTAAGAAATCACGATTTTGCTCATGAATTCTTGCATTCCTCTTTTTTTAATACAAAATTACCATTTTAGATGGGCTCTGCCAAACCCTCTTCTGGTGTAGATACTCTCATGTATATCACGGACTGCCGATCACACAGAGCGTGTTCTGTCTACGTTAGTTAGAAAGAATAGGTGCTCGCTAATTTAATGGTGTAAGGGGAGGGGCTTAAATGTTCTTAATTTAAATTTTCACAAGTCCCAACAAAGGTATATAACTGGGTACAGTTGCCTAACTCGAAACTTCCTTAATCAAAACATGGAATACAAGTCCACAGGTAGAGATTTTTGTTACAGAAATTCCGTCTCCCCCTTAAGATGTTTGACACATTTTCTGAAAAGGATCCTAACGGAGACCAGCAGCCATGAACTACTATAAAACTAAATAAAATTATAATGTTGTGTCATAACTAGTTAATGTATATTAACAAGTATTAAATGGGAAATACATCAAGCAGCAACAAACTTCTTGTTTTAGCCAGAATTCTTAAATATTGCATTGCTACATACAAAATTGTTTTACATTTATTAAGCACCTTAATAAATGCTTTAAAATGCATACGATATTTTAGTTCTCTAGAAGCGGAGATTTTTAATGAATCGCAATTTTATTCAAATTTTCATTAATAATTTCAATTTAATAAAAGAAAGCATTTTATGTAAATTTTTAATTTTGCAAAACAACAACAACAACAACAACAACAATAGAGAGCATCAACAGCGTCTACGAGTTGCAGGATGACTTGCCGCCAAAGAACAAAGGCCGCTGGGGTTATTATCTTCCCTACGGATTTTGGTATGAATTTAAACATCTGCAAATGCTAGCTATTCCACTTGTAAGTTATTTATTTATTTGTTTATAATTTTAATATAACGTAATAGTCAATCATTTATTTGACCTTAAATTATGAGTTTTCGTTGATAGTACTGTAATTGACACAATGACCAATTTTCGTCTTTTTACGATCCTTTAAAAGCATAGAAATATTATCGGATAATACATTTATCATATTTTAATCATAATTTTCCAAATTAAATTAGATAAAGTTGTACATTGTGTAATTGTATTTGTAGATGCGTTAAGGTCTTTCCTGTGATGATAAGTTGGGGTGGAGGTGGGGGTAGGAGGAAGATGGTTTTATCGAGAAACAAACGGCGGATTCGGTTGAAACGGACTGATTGATTGGCCGGCAATTTCAGGTAAAGGCAATTTGGAGATTGAGGGTTTCGAGGTTCAGTGTTGATGCTTCCTGAGACTAAGGACCTTGGGGCTTATAAGTCAAAACTATTTCAGAATGACTCATTATAGATTTCTACGTATAAACATTGAAATAAAGGACACAGATTTTCTCGAAGAATTGATTTATAAAGAGCATTTCAAGAAGAGGAGAATAAACGGTTAACTTGAAATGCTATTGGTAAAGCATAAGTCTCTTAATTCTATCTATTTTGAGTAAGTGCTTCATTATCCAGATAATTTGCTTACCGTTTTGAGTTAAGTGTGTTCTATTTCATGTTACCATTGAAAATGCATTGACTCTCTCGTGTTAATTAAAGTCGACTAGTCCAAATCACCGAAAATGAATTTTTTACCAATGATTTTCACTCTATTCAACCACAAGTTTCAATATGGCTTCTGATTGCACAATGGGGAGTATGGGCTCTAATATAGAAGATTTTGATGTCAAAGTTATCATGTGACTCAATTCTTAATAAGTGTTCCTCATAACCCGTGATGTTCAAGAGCATTCTACTTGTATAGAGCTTAGATTTGAAGCCATTTCACAAAGATATTGATTTTCAAACGCCAAGGTTTTGTCTCCTAAAATTTAGCAAATATTTATCGAGGATAATAAACAGGCGACTGTTAACTTTGCGAATTATTTGAAAACTTATTTCTATTTTATTAATCAAACTGACAACAGATCAATAATTAAAAATATAATATTAATGGTCTTAAAAATAAAGTCAATCCAGGTTATCGAACATTTTGAAATTAATAGATGTTGACGGGCATGAGCCACTACGCTATTGTACCGATCAGTATTGCCTTCCTCGGCCAGTTGGGAAAATCGGAGTTGGCTGCCGGGGGTCTTGCCATCTCCATCTTCCATGTTGCTGGACTTTCAATTATCGCTGGGCTTCTAACTGCCAGTGAAACGCTATTTTCACAAGTAACATACCTCCATTTAAATTTGTTTAAGCATATTTTTTGCTTCGTAATACACGCCAAAGTCGTCGAAAAGTTGTGAAAATGATCTTCTTTCTGGTTACTAGAATGCCCAACGTATTAAACGCTTAAACATAACGCCCAAACACTCCAGCACTCCATTTCTCCAAATTACCAGCCCAAAATTAGAGACCTTATGATAACTTGAATATGCTCAATAGGTTTATTACAGAAAAGAGCTGAATTTAAGAGATATGCTTTTCCAATAGTTTGCAAAAGGCGTATGCACAATATTCGATGTGTCCTAAATTTAGGGCACTGAATAGAAATCATCTTTTAATTTTTCAAACCCCGTAAATGTGACGCATGTATTTTAATGTTTGGTTAGTGCAAACACACAAATTTAAGTAGGACAGAAAAAGTAAAAGAAGTTAAAAATGTCTGTTGTGGAAGTGGCGTGGGAAATGTGAAAGGTGTGGATATATTAATAATATTGGTTTAACAATGTATGCTCTAATTCGTTGACTTAACTAAATGTTTAAGTACTAATACCACTTACACGCTATTTGCAATGTTAGTCAAAGAAGTTCAGGACAGAATAAATCAGAAACTTTGAGTTTAAAGAGATATTAGCACAGTTTAACAGTTAAAATGTCCTAGATGGCTTACCCCTGGGTTTTTTTTCTTATTTTGTTAAATCATGATAAAATTCACCTTGCCCTGTTTATTCTTCAAATATCGCCCACAAACAAAAGATTATTTCAACTGTTACGCATGGGAATTCACTACTTAGTTACTCTGAATGTGTAACGCAATTGGCTTTCATCAAAAGTGTTTAATTTGTTAAGCTGCATTACTAATGAAACCTTAGAAGTTGTAACCATGGACTTATAATTGAATTCGTAAGAGATGTCAGCTGGGGTTGGTAAAGAAAATAAATTAAGAAAATCAGTCAATAAGTTTTTGATTTGAGAAAATTATGGAAGAATAGCATTTTAATTTGATTATTAGAAGGCGTAATTTACTTTAAGTTCGTTTTGTCTCGTTTCGCCACAAACATCACATATGAAGACCAGGCGATATCTTTTATGACACTGATTTTATCTCTTAAACCATATGATAAATGTGGGATAATTTGAAATCCATGATACAATTAATTGTTAATTTAATATTTATGCCCGAGAATTCGTTTACTAATTTTTAACTGTTTTCCCTTTGGTCAATTTCAGACCATTGGAGGAGAGAACAAGTTTCGTTTGGGTATTCAAGTTCAAAAAGGTATTTAATGAAATATTTTTCTTTCGATTTCAGTTGAGTGCAGCATCCCAAATAAAAAACCCAATCGGATTTCACTTTTCAACTCGTGATTCAAATTTATTTGATGCATCAATTAATTAGGCTTTCATTTAATTATTACTGAGTTATCTAATAATATTTGTCGCATGAATGCCATTTTAAGCAATAGGATTGCCGAAATGAGTTTGCGTAATCGCCTATTTAATATAAATCACTGTCTTGGAAATTGAATTTTCGTTTGAAGTTACTGACAAATTGCATAATTTGTTACCTTCATGTATTTACCTTAGTGAAAATGCAGACGAAAAGGGGGAATTAAGCGTTGTACTTTTCTTTTGACAATTTTAGCTGGTGTCATTTTGGCATTTTGTTGCATGCCGTGTTGCGCCATCTACATTATCAGCGAGCCGATTCTTCTCTTAACAGGTCAGCCACCTCTGGTAGCAAGGTATGCTCATATTTAATATCATTTCATCTTCCTTCAATAAATTAAATATTAAGGAATGAGAATTTTATTTTTACAATGAAATTTAAAGTAGGTATCATTTCGGCTTACTTATAACCGTACATTTGGTCATTTTACCACATATTATTTATCAATGGGTATCCAACTTGTAGTGTTGGAAGTTGCAGGCATTTGTGCTCTCATTATTTCGATTAATAGTAGTATGAACACTTGACCAGTCGTTCATTTTGGAAAAGATAGACAAATCTTAAATTTATAAAAATTTTTTTGATAATCAATATAAATGCATGTGATTTTCCATTATTATTCAAAACTTGTAGACAGTTATCACCATAACACAATTATTATTGACAATTTAAAAACTTTGGAAAGGTTAAAATAGTGAAATAATACCTGAACACACAAAGTTGACAAGCATTCAAGTAAGGGATGAAATGGAGACTTAAGATAAGTCGAGAGCCTTATTTTACTTGAATTCCGCTAGAATTGGGTTTGCAGAATTATTGCCCACCTGCTCACAATATTAAGAGTCTTCGAGTGATCTGAGGAGGGGGGGGGGGGGGGGGGAGGGAAGGGTGTCAGGTGCCAATAGCATAAATTTGCAGTTTTTCTGCCTTCCTTTTTACTGGCCAAAATAATTCATAATATTAATGCATACTAATGAATATCAATCAGGAGTCCACTGTACCAAAATTCATCAGTCGTTATTAATTAATTTAATTTATCAGTAAAAGTGCAGTTAGCAAAACCGTCACTTAATTCTCAAGCTATAGAGCAAGAAAGTTCTCTAACTTTCTCATAAATCGGTCAAATTTATGCTAATGTATGCCTCTTTTGTCGTGGGAAACATTGGGTAAGAAATAACAAACTGTCCTATCACTTTTTAAGCATGAATTAACAAATTGCACTTTTATAACGCAATGATTTAGATGAAAATGGGCCTCCTTTCCCGCCAACACTTCCAAAATGATAGTAATATTTAAAGCTAGAACTTCAACGACTTCAACACCACAATTTGGAGATGTTGAGAGTTGAGGAAAATCACTCATAGAAAATGAGTTGCATACAAATGGAATGAAACGATGCCATAAATTGATGACGTTATGTCTGTATTTGTATTTCGTCAAAATGCCGCAAAATGGGAGGGGGGGGGGGGTATTTGAATGTTTGCATTCATTGAATGAATTTTTTTAAAATAATAATACAATGAACCAAAATAAATTCAAAATTGTTGTGAATAAGGGAGTAATTTGAATCTGAAAAGGGATATCTAATATATCAGTATCAGATGAGGTTTATCATCTCCTGACAACACAAATGACGATCGATTTTCCAAGTAATTCGACTGTTACATTGGATTCCCTTTGCTGTGCCAGAAATCAATAGCTAGTTCTGTTTCATACATTTTTATTCGTCAGTCCTCTTTTTACACTTGAACAACTGGTACTCGAATTCTACAATGCATCAATGACTTGTCACGTTCTTTAACACTTTCATGGAGAGTAACTTTTAACATATTAGTAAGTCCGCTGAACTTGACTACATAGTGCAAGAATTGAAACGTTGGGCTTCAAATGCCTATTTTTTAACGATAACCTTTTTCCAACTCCTTATTTTAATGAAATTAAAAGTGGTTTTATTTTTTTTGTTTCTAGGTACACCTCATATTATCTACTCGGACTCATTCCTGGCTTATTCGTAATTTATCATATTAGAAATCAACTCACTCTCCCCTCTTTTTTCTAGTTTCTGACAGTAGTTGAAATTTGCAATAGATACATTCAGTGTCAGGTAAGTTTCTCCCAAACCCCTTGATTATCACGTACTTTTAGAACAAAGTATATCCACCACTCTTCGCTAGTATTACGGCGAACACTGTCAACGCCTTGTCTCACTATCTATTCGTGTATAAAACGGAATTTGGTTTTGTGTAAGCTCCAGGAATGATTCCCGCTAAACTGTTTAAATGTTATCTTACTTTCCTTACTCATTTTATCGATTTTTTTTCCTTAACTCATTTCTGGGCACGATTCATTTGTCTATCTGTAAGTGGTCAATTACTCATCAAAACATGAAGTAACGTCTGTGGGGCAAGATCTTACTCTGTTAATTGAGCACAACTTTGACTACCGATTGAAAACTGCGGTCTCACCTTTCAGTATAACAATTGAGTCTCTTTGAACGGGATGATAAACAGAAAATTCTATTAATATAAGTATCATTAGGACATTAAGTTAAATAGTAGAAATATTTAAGTGAGTAAAATGTAAAAATATAGTTCTTGAAGGGACAAAGTTTGTCTGTAGTTTGTGCCTCTTCAGAAAGCTTGAGCGGTTCAGCTCTTTTAGAAGTTAGTATTCAGGGCAGTTGAGAAATATTTCACTGATATTCATGAATGACAAAATAGTCCACCATCTAACTCTAATCTGTCTGCTGTTCGAAAGAGGCTAGCCACCGCAATTGCTCGAGTCTAAATAATGAGTGGTTGTAGCACTTCCAACTTCATTTTAGCAGACACATCTTCACAAATAGTAAGAAAAAAACTATCATAGCTTATATTCCCACCCTACCAACTTCTTTAGTCCAATTAGTGAAGAATGGGGTGTGAGTTGAACTCAAGGTGACTGTTGAAATAAGTGGAGTCATGTGCTTAATTGAATGCCCATGTTACTAAGTCTTGCTTGTCGTTTAAACAGAGGCTCGGCTTTATCACAGTCGTTTGGATTTCTGGCTCAAGCGATTTTCTTGATCGGGTATATCTACATCTCGAGACTCTACCGAAAAACATGGGATGGTAAGTGATCCCACATTATTAGTTCACAATTACTCTATAATGAAATATGCAAAAAATATCACCTGTCATATCATCTGTTTGTAACGGACGGTTACAGTCCCTCCTAAATCCGAAATTATTATTATCAATGTTCTTTAAACCGCAGTAAAAAGTGAGGGAAGAACTACTGATTATGTGATGGTTTTGTTAAAGACGAACTGGGTAAGTACTTGCGTACTAGGAATGTCTCGTGTTGTTGTGGTTGCTTTGTGTGTTGTTCGTCTAGTGATGCGTTTGCACTTTGTCTAAGGCAGAAGTCATGGGACTATTATCATCTGTGTATATCCAATGATTTTGATGGTGGAAGCATACTACTCTAAATAATTCTTTTCAAATAAGGGACATTTATTGATATCCGGCACCTTAAGTAGCGTTCAAATCATGTTAGCAAAATCTTGAAGTGGAGAGGTCACATTGGAGAGGAAAAGTTTTAAGTAGAAAGACCTCACTAGCTGTGGAAAAGTATTTGATAATAACACCGTCGTAATAGGTTCTCTGACATGGTTATTTGCCTAGATTATTACGAGAAATCTTTTTTACTTACTATGTTTAGTAATAAAGTGATGGCATTAGAATGTACTTGGTAATTTCGATTTCCTGTTACTAGCTACATTTCAAGAGAAGTGTTTTGTTCTAATATGACCCAATTTGACTAATTCTTTTCAATCAGCTATCCACGTTGAGTTATGGCATGATTGGGGTGTTTGGTTTCGCCTTGCAATTCCCGGAATGGTGATGTCAGGACTTGAATGGTGGGTCTGTGAATCTGGTAGTATCGTTTCTGGTAAGCCTTTTTTAAACATTTTTAACAAGTAGTTTGACCCCTTTTTCTAATCACCCTATCTCTCTCTCTTTAACAGGTCTCCGTGGTGAGAATGCGTTGGCTGTACAAACCATCCTTAATAACATCGAGTCACTTCTCTATTGCATGGTGAGTACACTTTGGATTGCAACACATTGGCAAGAACTTCATTGCAAAAGAGTAGGGAATTGTCGCGGACTTTAATAAGAAAGAACAACAATAACTTTTAAATTAAGAATAATAAAAGAAATCTGAAGTTGAACAGTGTTAAACCAACTTTTCGAGAGACGAAAAATGATGAACATTGATTACTAATTTAAGCAATGCTTGACTATGAGCAAATGCGTATTTTTGCGAAAGATCAGTCTATTTAGGACGATAGTTACTTCAATATTGTCTATTTATTTCTTTATTATTTCCTACAGTTCCCACTGGGATTACTCCTCTCCACAACAATACGAATAGGTCAATTTCTTGGGGCAAATAATGCAGATGGACCCAGAGCTACATCGATAGTCGGATTGACTACAATCCGTAAGTTTTACGAATTTTAAGATTCATAATTAGTTCAACATTTATAGTAAAATTTTTCGTCCTTGTTTTCTAGTTGTCAACAGCGTCATTATTTCAATTACACTTATCTTCACTAGATCTTATATTCCTCGACTATTTTCAAGTGATCCGTAAGTTTGCATTGGCCTTAGAAGGTATGGAATTTGTCTTAAGGAGTTTTGATAATGGGAGGATAGGCTGTAGAGGTGTTCCACTCATCAATAATCTGGATGTTATGACCTTGAACAATGCCAGCATGACACAAAACGGATTTTTGAACAACGTATTTAATGATACGATCAGGGGTGCTATTCACATACGTTGTTACGTCTACGGAATTTGTATGCTTTCAAAGGCAATATTTGAAGTTGGGTGATAATTAGCGTTAAAAGAAAAATAATACTAGTAAATAATATGGTTTATAAATAGAAATAACGCAGTTATGGGTTAGCCACATTTCATGATGAATCAGATTGCAATAATATGATTGTATGCTTTCCTTCACCTTCTCAAGAGTTCTCATTTTCTTAGAGTTTGAGAACAGGTTAGTTCAGATCAGTGAACACTTACCTTCAACGCCCTATTAATGAAATATTGGAGTTTTAGCCAATGGGATTGTAGCTCTCCTTGAGATCCTCATTTTGTCTTTTTCTATCCTGTGAGAGGGAGATTTTACATCAGCAGCTCATCTAACAAACAAAGAATCCAAAGGAGCCAACTCCCTTTGTCACATTTTGAGTTCCATTCATTCAGAGCTGACATTGGACAACTTCAATAGCAAGCCTTCTTTTAATTCCTTCCTTTCTCTTCCTCTTGTTCTCCCTATGCACGATCCAATCATTTCCTGACCTCTAATTTACGGAAGGCCATTCCTTTTCATTTGCATTTTGTTAAGAAAAGAGTACCATCAAGTCTTGTTTAGGTAGAACTTACCAGCTTATTGCTGCATCAGAAAGCTGAATTCACATTTTGACATTTTGACAGAATCTAAACAGAGAGACAAAATCGGACGCTGCTCAGACTTAACAATATCAATCGCAATTTCACTGAATTTTATTTTAAGATATAGATTTTGACATAGTTGACGTAAATTTCTCAATTGACAATTTAAAATACGACTCTCTTCTCAACAGCATCATTAAAGCGAAAAAGTTCGAGAAAGAGTATGACTGGGAGATGGGTACATTTCCGCATAGGTTTTCTTGGATAATAAGTTGTGAGAAATTTGAAGACTTTGTTCTTAAAAGTTTTTCCATAAGACGTTAATGATAATCTTGACACCATTAAGTTAAATTTACCTCATATATTAGTTATCTCAAATAGGTATTTAGTATTCTATTTACAACTACTTGGCTAACAAGACCCTCAAACAATTCTTTACAAGGTCACATTTATCTTAAACCTCCATTGTTCATAGCTTTGAGTAATTGGAGAATTGGTATAAGTTCAACGTTATGTTTCTTGAGAAGTCAGATTATAAGCTAAATGAAATTTTTGGATTTCAGGAAAGTTTAAAACTTTTGTAATCTAAGAATGAAGTCCTTTTAATGATCGGCCAGAGTGTGCAATAGACTTACCTCCAAGTAGTGCACCCTGGTCAACATATACCCATACTGCAAAAAAGTATATAAATCGGTAGTTGACTTCTGACTTCAAACTACCATCACCCCACTGTATTTCATATTCGATTACTTCCGAGTACTCACCTCACCTTTTTTTACCTTTTCCGCCTTCGTATTTGAAACACTCTTCTGTCCCCCTCCCCTCCTCTCGATTTTTTTTCACTTTGATGTTCCTTCCCTCTGTGAAGCCTGAAGTCAACTAAGGGGCTAATTATGACCATCAAAACGCCTGCCATTTGATATAAAATAAAAATAAAATGATCGGTCAGAGTTGATGACCTGTATGAAAGTAAATCGGAATAGAAAAGAAGACTGTTGCAACTTTAAAATGCCACTGAAGTATGAACGATTTCCAAGTGTATTGAAAGAAGATATCCTTCAAGTTTCATTTGGAGCATTCAAATTTCATCCTACCTGCCTACTTAGTTACGTGAAAGTCGCAACCTGCCTCTTCCATATTGCTATTGGCATAGAATTAAAAGAAGGATAGGGTCATTTCATTGGAACTTCCTCGTTTAGGATCTAATTCGTGACTTCAAAGTTGACACGGGTATTCATTTAATGTTGTACGTGGATATATTCGGGATAGGTGTACAAGTCAGACCATTATACGGTCAATGCCCATTTCATAATAAGTAATTCGCAAGAAAGTGTGGTTAGCCTGAAAGACCAAAAATTAATTGATTGGAATTAAATTAATAAGATTAGAATTAATTAGACCTTTATTACCTCTTCGACTAACTTAAAAGAGTTTACTAAATTCAATTACTTAATTTATTTCACAGGGCAATCATTGATTCAGCGGCTGACGGATTGATAGCAATAGCCGTCTTTCTATTTGTGGATTCAATTGTGGTAAATTTCCACCTTTTCTTCCTGTGCCTTGATTAATCAGTGAAAAGGAATGTAAAAAAATTAACTCGTGTCCATAGGCCGTGTGTGCGGGCATTATTCGCGGTGTTGGAATGCAGAAAGCTGGTGGCATTGTCTGCATTGTTTGCATGTATCTGATTGGAGGACCACTTGGAATCTCTCTCCTCTTACTTACTGACCTCGGTGTTGCAGGTGAGTCACCCGATTGACAAACAGGCCTCAAGAATAAAACCAAGGTACAAAAGTGCGTTCTATCCTTCTAATTTGACTTGAGGTTGCGCTTTTGATAGAAGTCGTTTCTTACCGTTGAAGATCAACCCATCACTATAGATCATAGGGAGTTGAGGCAGTGGAGTCATGACATTTAGAAGGGATTGGCAGTCCACAAATCCCTTATCCAAAAAGTACGTCCTGGGCTTGAAACATGTTTATCGGCTTCCTTTCGCCTTGCCATAGCAGTAAATCCCACACAGAAGGTGGTTAAAACCAGGTTTTTGAGATGCAAGTGGGCAATTCATCACAGCTGAACCAATAAACATTGACTAGTGCAAAATTACCAGTGATCCCTGGAGACGAGAATATTTGAAATGAAATTCTTGAAGCATAAGCAATCTTGAATAAGAATGTTGCTAACATGGTACATGACATTCATTTTAAGTTTTTGAACTAGAATTTTAAGAGTTTAGATAGATTGTTCCTCCCTCCCCCTCCCAATTGGCTGTGTATGAAAGCTATTCTCTTTCTCTTGAAGGTTTCTGGTATGGCCTGAGTGCTGGAACAGGAAGTGAAGCAATCATTTACATCATTATAATCCTTCGAATTGACTGGAACAAAATGTGCAAGAAGGTTGGTGGAAGCATTCCATAAAAAAATACTGACATTGAAATATTCGGGGATATTTATTGCCTTAACTAAAAATATTTGCCTTGTAGGCCCAAAAGAGGACTGAAATAAAGTTCATCAATAAGAGTGCAAGTCAGCAACAAGTTGAAGACAAAGGTAGGTAATTTAATTATTTCCCTTTTGTGTTTTGTTGTTGATTGACTGCTAAGTTTGAGGCCACTTACAAGAGCACATTCAGTGAATGCAATTGTCAAGCACGATACTTAATTAGTGGGAAAAATGAGAATTGAGAACCGGAAGTTCTCCAAGGCACTATTCACATGATGTGGGTAAAAGTTAGACGTTGACATTCTAAATAGACTTTGAAGTTATTATTGTAATTTATTTATTTATATATTTCAAATGGGAGGCGTTTTGATGGTTATCATTAGCCCTTTAGTTGACTTCAGGCTTCACACAAGGGAAGAACATCAAAGTGAGAAAAAGTTGAGAGGGGGATAGAAGAATGAATTACAGATATAAAAGTGACAGACTGACACAAAGGTAGAGAAAAGAGAGGTGAGTACTGTGGTTGTGGTCGAATATGGCATACAGTAGGGTCATGGTAGCTTGAAGTGAGAAGTCAACTGCCAGTTAATAGACTTTTTTGCCGTATGAATACACGTAGCCCAGGGTGCACCACGTGGAGGTAAGTCTATCGAACACCCCTAGAGGCGCCGTACCTCCGGGGAGAATTGAACTCCCGACCCCGGGTTTACTAGACCAGTGCTCTAACCACTGAGCTACGGAGGCCAAAGCAGTGGATGACTAGTTGCGAGCACGCCAGGATGCAATAGCGTGCATTTACTAGCACTAGCTTTTCATTTATTGGCGATTTTGTACAAAATTGTACATTTCCTGCACTCATCATATAAAATGACAAATACTTCTTTTTTCAAGCTAATGCATTTAAAATTAAATAACCCCTCACCCAACCCTCCCTCCCCCCTTCCCCCCCCNCCCCCTCCCCCCTTCCCCCCCCCCCTCCTTCTCCAAATTTCTTAAGAAATTCATTTACTTTATTTTACTTGGAACGGGGATTATAACTTTCGTAGTGCCTATTTCCAAACTCAGTCTGCTTGAACAAAACCAATAGAGAGTGACTAAAATAAGTTAACTTTAACTGCTGTCGAATTAATTTAAATCGAGGTTATTTTGAAAACTTGAGGCAAACCAGTGCCATGTTTTAAGTTTCAATATTCTTTAATTAAGCATAAGAAGGACAATAAAATATTTATCTTTGCATTTCTTTATTGTAGAAGCGGCTGAGGAATCAGAGGCCAGTGATTTGGAGAAAGTGGACAGTGATTCAGAAGTGAAAGCCTGTACACAAAGAATTGTGTTTACTCGATCTATATTAATCACACTTTGCTTTATGTCGATCATAGCTGCACTGGTTATTCGTTTTCAATTTGATTGGAAATCGTATTTCCAGACCTATTGCCTTCACATGAATGGAGACCTTATAGCAGTACCAACAGCCAATGCTACTGATTTCGATTTCAGTAAATGCCAACAAATCTTGCCCTAAGTTTAAATATTGATGAACTCGGTGGTTGTATTCATCTTCTTACGTTTGCATTATCAAGCAGAAATCATGATACTTCTTTTATTGTTCTCACTTTAATACATGACTGAATAGTGCTATTGATAAATAATTGTGTTATGATTGATTATTGGAAAAATAATAAAAACAATAAAAATGTTTGATTATAAATAATATGTTTCAAGATTGCAAAATAGTTTACAGAGTTGTTTTAATACTTTTTACTACTACTTGGAAGGATATTCGTGAATATAATCTAATTAGTTTATATTTTATTTCCCACGAATACAAATGTTAGGAGAGCTTGATAAGAATCTGCAAATAAATCATGATCGAAGCTTGAAATAAATAATTAATCCCTGATCTTAAAAAAAGACTCCCTCTGTCTAGATCTGTTGCTACAACTAAACATGAATCATTTCGGCTTGCTTATTTTAAAATGGATCCGGTTTGTTCCACTAAGGGAGAACGTTTTCCCAAGCATAAATTACGCCAAACACGAGTTCATTAAGCTACACTAACGGACTAAATCTGGGAGTGCAATAACTTTGTGAATGCAACAGTAATTATTTTTGGGTAACATGTAAAAAATGGTAATAGCAGCTTTTTACCACTTTATTACAGTAATACAATTGGGTAAACGAAACATTAATTGTAGTAACTTATTTGGGACGAAAATTAAAACAAACCACCTGGAGTCCATTTTAAGAAATTTGTAGTGAGGGCAGCGCCAACATGGCCAAATCAATGGATATTATGTACTCTGGAACATTCTGGAAGGTGTGATCGTGTGTGCAGAGGACTCCTCAGTTAATCGTAGATACATATTCATTCAAAGTTGCTCTAAGTGCATTCATGTGCTAATCGTGTTTGCCGTGACAATAATTTGCAATAAATGCTACACGCTCTTGAAGTTCTACTTCCTTAATATTATTGAGTTAGCTTCTCCTATTTCGGGCGTAAGTGTAAACGAGAGGATTTCGCCAGAGAGGCTTCTTTGAAGTCGCCATTGTTTTAATATCTATATACCCAAAATAGTTGAAACAA